AGGATATATTACCAGATGACAAACAGTTTTATCATTTTTCTACTAATTCCCTTGCTAATTCTGTGAATTCTTTTCTTCATTTCTCTGCTCATTATTGTTGTTATTTGTTGATGTCGATCAAAGTGGGTTCCAACTATGGCTGGATGAATACAAGAATTACGATTTCTTCAACCGACTCTGTTTTACTGGTCGGTGTAGTCACTATACACAGGTAAGAACTAGTATGATTTAATCTGTCAGTGGACAGTACACTAAGATTTATCATAATTGACGATAACACACATCAACGTTTAATAATGTGGATGAGTAAAAATGTCGTTAATCAAATCACTGCTTGTATATTTTCGAACTGCAAAGTGGTTAATTCTGAAGTGCAGACAGAAACATGTGCACACAGTAGAACGATATTCATGTACTTACAGTCTGAATAACCTGATTGTTCATGTTTCGTATGGCTGTTGAACTAAAAAAATCTTCACCTATCTTCACGCATCTGCTACAGAAATGTTTCCTCTGTTTGTCTGCCTGTTCCTTTCTTGCAGATCGTGTGGGAAAACACTACGGATATCGGATGTGGTGTTACTAGCTGTCCGCATTCCCCATTCAACCTCAGCATTGTATGCAATTATGGTCCAGCGTAAGTCAACAGTAAAATATCTTCCACACATCACCATCAATATAGTTCACATCGTCAAGAAAATACATGTCTAGTGATATAGAACATCATCCTAACCATCGTCTTCACCAGAATATCTTGACATTTGTGTGAGTGATGATTATAATTATGTGAGCAGTGTCAAACCTGCAACCGGTTTACTCCAGTTTGATGCTCAGAGATTTGAGTGTGGGTAGATGTCTATCATAGAGGTTTTCAATGTTGCAGAATCATGGATAGCAAAGCACGTCTCCTCTAGTCGGAACACAAATAGTGTACAGGTGAAGTAATCTATTAACCGAATTTTGTCAGTGTGCACTGATGAAACTAGTTCACTGAGTGACTCTGTATAATTTTCACAAACTTTTATTTTGGAAATTTTCAAATAGTAAAAAATCCAAGTGTCTTAATCATGAGTTTACGTATATTTCAGATAATTGTTATGAAAAAGCATTTGCTTAAAATATTAACAGATCAACGATCTCACGTAATCAAAATCACAGTCTGATAGTTGAAATTTTTGGGATGAATTCATGTATTAGACGAAAGTATTCATGCGAATGTCCACGAGAGAGGAAAGTAAGAAATGCTGTGAGTAACAAATGGAGTTTGTGATTGTGGATAAAACAGAATGGTGCTGATTACAATTCATATATTGACTTGTGAGACCACTATCCATTCGTTGTTGAGACTGCGAAATGTTCATCTTTTTTCCTCATCTCATTTCAGAGGTGGATGCCCAGGCCACTTTCCGTATGATGTAAAAGGTCAGTACAGGCAATCGAATATAAGGTATGGCAGACAATGGTATAATCGGAAATACAGAAGATGTCGTCGGGCATACGTGAAACAAAGGTGTAATCTTGAAAACGCAAAACGACTAAATCAGACACCTGAAATTCAAAACAGGAAGTACAAACTCATTAAACAACACCTCTGTCCGAATAAATAAAACGTGTGATGTAATAAAAACACTCGTCAATTCTTCACACACTATCACAATTGAAACCACGTTCACATCAACACACTTGACACTTCCTTTTATCTCCAATATTAAAAACAATGCTACCTGCAAATGTACTGTTTTGTCTCTCTCTCTCTCTTTAAAATGTGAACAAATTGTTATCTGGCTATTACGACTAATGGAAACGTGTGTGGAATATTGTTAATAAACAGGATGGTTTTGTGGATTTTAATGTGACACCGTCTGTTTGAGTGTGTTTGATTACGGTTGTGAGTTTGTTTGTCATACATTTTAATGAAATGTAGGTTTTCACTTTAGTTTTGCTTGCGCAGTGTCTTCCTTAGCGCGAACTGTACGATGACAAACTGTTAATTATACACATAATGAGTAGACTATCGATTATACTTAATAATATTTCACTAGAAAGCATTTGAAATGCACAGATTAGACGAATAGAGTCAATAATGTCAGTCATTTCACAGAAGTGAACTAGAACAGTGATGCATGTTTAACGTGTTTAATGTGAAAGGTATTTTTAGTATTGTATCAATACATGTAAATTCTAGTCAACATCCATATGTTAGTCCTGTGGACACCGAAATACATAATGGATTTACGCTAATACTAGTTATTTAACACGTTGTGAATGAACCGATTCTAGATGAAAGTAGCGTTCCACGCGAATAATTCACTTTGTTTGACATACAGGACGGAATCTGAAGCACTTTTCTACATCGTGAATCAACAAACAAATCACTTCAAAACCCACATTGGTTGATCACCATTTATGAAAAAGCCACAGTCCAGAGATATTTTTCGATATTTGGGACAAACTTATAATGACAGAAACCGATTTTCGGTTTACTAAATTGAACGTATTCTTATTATGTATGATGGAGAAATTGGAATTAATATCGCTAATGATTTACCATAGTTTATCTCAAATAATGATTATATATTTACTGAATGTATAAGATAGATTGGCAAACAGACAGACAGTGGAATCGCAATGACCAGAGGATGAACTATTTTCTAGCAAGTGTAGATATCCTGGAATATGGTTAAATGTTTGCATTCACATTATGTATATGTACATAAGTAAAATAGCCATGATTATTGTCTATATTTTTTGTACATAAATCAGTATCTCACACATTTTCAATAAAGCATTTCTGTTTTCTATGTCTCTATCTACTATACATAGCAAGATAAGCTAGATAATAGAACGTTTCAAATAACGTTAATCTTTAAACATTTCCTACGTTCGATCGGTTACTTTCTTAACATGGTCTTCAATATTATTTAATTAGTTCGTAATCGCTTTAAACTGTTGTCATCTTCATATTATTTATTTATTTTTATTGCCATTAATGTTAACTTTATTATTTATTTATTTGAACATATAAATATTGGTACAAATGGGCACCGAATATATATGTGTAACACAAGTCACTTGGTTTGTGTGTGAGCTATGATACTGCCCGGGTGGCAAGACCGAAGCAGATGGCTTTCCTAGGGGGCCACGCCCGGAGCCTTGGACCTAAAGGTCTGATCCACAAGTCAGTGGAGCAACGTCAGGAGATGCAGTCCCATAGTAGCTGGTGACCAATCATTGGTTCACACGCCATTTGTTCCCTAAGGATCTTAAAGCCCATGTGCACCATTGGTTTGGAATCAGGATTTTCCAACTCTTCTAGGTGGATTCACCGTAACACCAACCCGGTTAATGCGCCTGACATACGCTTTTCATCTTCTCAATTTCGTGAACAACACCCTCATCGCTAGAAGGCAGTGAGTTGGACTTCCCTGATAATAGCTGTATACACGTGACCATATGAGAATAGTTCGAGAGGACGAGATAACTCTCCCCACCCTCGGCCGAACCAGGGTATTAGGGGTTACACACTGTTGAAGAGTCCCATAGTAGGACGAAATGACCGTTCAGTCCTTCTAGGTTTTCAATGGTTGTCTCGCATTAATCGATTCATGAATTCAACCATTAAACTTTAGTTTTTCATTCAACACAATTTATACAGTTCGTTCAAATTTATTATCCTTCTGACTTATACAGACAGAAAAACTTCCGATTAATGAAACATACCATTTCAATAAGTTGTAATGATTGTTCTGGAATAAATCTAATCACGAAGAGTTTATTAACAAAAATGATAATCAAATATTTTTGACCACAGTCATATTTTATATGATAAAGTTTTGTTGATTAGTGTTTTAGAAGGTTTACTTTGCACTCATTATGTTATGGGGAAATGTCTATAACTTAATATTCGGAATTCATTAGATAACTTTTTCTATAAGTAAACAGTTTGGATAAAGATTTGGTTAATGAAAATTTACAATGAACTAACCAATTGTTATTTCAAATCAAACAAAATGAAAACTTTTTACACTGACACTTTGCTAATATTATATAGTTAAAACATTATTCTCTCTTCTTAGGTGATAGTCAGTTAGAGTAGTTGACTAGGCTGAATAGAAGTAAGGTAATTCATCTGGGTATATGTACAGTGAAAGAAAGTTTTAGGGTTGTTTGTCAACTTATTAACTCCTAGACATTTAAAAATAGAATAGAATTACCTACATGTGAAATACAAATTTGAAAATCAGAAAGAGCACTGAACGACACACCAAAACTCTGTTTACTTCTTATACATCAAGATGATTTTCCTAAGTATAAAACTTGTGACTTAAGGCAATATCGAGGCAGAATGCACATATGCCAACAAGAGACTGATCAATTACAGTCCTTAACAACAACGAGAAGGCATAAGTAAATAATACCAAATGAATTAAGGATTACTGTTGTCATACTTGAATCATAAGAACTGAATGAAAGTTACAGTCCTAACGTCAACTAATAAGACAGATTGTTACAATTTACTCTGCCAACTTATCCAACCTCTTTGTAATGTTATAGATTATACTGTATGCATATTTGTCTATTTTATCCTTTGTCTATTTTCATATCCAAGCTCAAAAACAAAGTTATTTCAGAGAGTTGATATTCATACTATTTGACTAATTATTCAAATTGAATTCCTCTAAAGTATCACATACTTAATTTGTATTATGATTGTCGTTATTTAGTGGAGTTTGACTGAATGTTTCGGACGAAAATAAATTATGAATCACATTACATTTATTATCATCATCAACATCATCATCATGGTCATCATTCATATAGTCAACATGAATGATAACACTTCAATTTTCACAGTTCCATTACAATGTTCTACTAGACAAAAATAATGTTTACTTTGTCAACTTATATTCTTATAAACATACTTCTATCTAAATGAAACATTTACGTAATAATAACTTTTATTATAAACTATTACATAATTATTGTCAGAAATGGGATTTGGTGAATATTATAGTAATTTGAATAGTTGAATTTATAAAAGTCATTTAACGCTAGATCACCATGGAAAACCTGGAAGTACGGGACGACTGTTTAGTCCGATTATCGAACACCTTATCAATGCGCATTCACGATTCCATCCATGGGATTCGAATCCAGGAACTATCAGTCCCGCGGGTTAACGCTTAACTTTCGGGCCACTGAATCAGCATAATCTCTTTGATTTATTTCTTTAAATAAATATGGTTGAATATAATTATTAAAAGAAAATTCTTTTGATTTTGAAATATTTTAATCATTCTTATAATTAACCAAACAGTTATTCATACATTCTGTCTAATCATAAATTTAAACCATACTGTGTTAAAGTGTAAAATATTTAAACATTATTCTGTTTTCATACATGAACATTAGTGATATTCGGTTATTAGACTATAATGAAATAGGGTAAATCCTCATAAAATCTGGATTCATAAGGTTTCCTATTGATATATTTACCCCTAAAAAAACAAGCAAAAACATAATAAAATGAATCATTTGTTTATAAATAAATAGAACTCAATAGAAATGTGCTTTATAATACAGTTTCTTTTTTCTTGAATGTAACTATCCCGTCAACTGATGTACTACTTTGAATGTTTGAAAAATTAAGGTAATTTATGATAAATATTAACGAAATAATTTTATAGACAATCAAATGTAGAGCTCATTTACAATGTTGTGGATTTGTGAATAACGTGTTCTTTAAAAAAATGACCAATTGAAGTGATCCATTCATTGTATATCTTAATCAGTAATTGGTTGATCCTCACCAGATTGTTTTTACTCATACATTTAAAGTGTTCTATCATCCTAGTGACTGTGTTTGACTGGTATTCCATGAATTCTACCTAGACAGTGTGACTTGTAAAATTCAATCATTTCAAGCCTCAATCAGTAACCACTGATATAGATGTATGTTAGTCGTACAGTATAACGAACTGACTGAATTTGTAAATGTGTTCTTTTTTGGATGTTGTGATAATGTAATAAGAAGTTAACGTGCTCTCTGTTGAACCTAAATCTTCTAAGTCTAATCTCTGATAGGTTTGTGAATGAACAACAATGATTAACATCATGTTAGCACAGAACACAAATGGATGCTTTCTGTTTTGTTATTATTATCTAGTCAAGTTTATTCTGTTATGCAAAGCTCTAAAGCAACAACAACAACCAAAAACATACTGTCCTAATATTATCACGTTCTCATAGTTATGACATTGAGAAAAGTTTCCGAAAGTCACATAAACCGATGGCAATTGAATAAAATATTTCATGAAATTACATACCCTGGTCCATAATTGCAAACAACAAGTATGTTATTTGGTGCTTCTAGATTTTTACACTTTGCAAACCCACATCCAATATGTGTGGTATCGGCAAATACTAACTGTAAAAGATATATATATATATTAATATAAAATATTTTTAAAATGATTAATCTAATTTAGTCGGTTCGAATGAATTAAACACAATGAAGTATGACAAAGTGTATTTTCCACTATTCATCATGTATATACAACAAATCAACTACATTTTATTGCCTACAGAATATTCTTTGCTTCATGAATTAGATCGAGTAGAATAGAACTGCCGCTACATATAATAATATAAACTGTACCATTTCATATTCTTTTTTCGATAGAATGACAATTCACTAACTAACAATTTATATTTGAGTGATCTTACCAAACACTAGGCTTAATATTATTATGTATCTTTAATTATTGTATGAATGAATTGTACAATGTTAAAGCAATCAACTTTTACGTCGATTATAGTTCTAATAAGTTTGGAATGTGTTCAACTTATGTATTCAAAAGATTAAAATTATGTTCAACATGGAATTCACAATGTGTTTATTCATACTATCAGAGACTCCTGTTAACAAAGAAATCTGTTCACGAGATAACAATGAGTGAGGTAATCAATAAAATAGTTCTTGATCGAGTGAGGCACAACACATTTTCCAAAATAATCGGTTTTCCTTTGTATACTAACAGAATTCCTTCTTCTTAATTGAAACATGTGAAATTTTCAGCATAGGAGTGTTATCTATTACGGATGGAAGAACAGATCTCGATATACAGTTTATTGTTCATACTTTTAAATGATATAATAAGTTATTCTGCAGTGTTTAGTGAAATATCAAATATCCATGTGTTAACAAAGAATTGTACATCATCTTTAATTCCATAAATAGTTGAATTCATTAGTCAATTGAAGTTAGAACACTATGGAAAACCTGGAAGCATTGGACGACCGTTTCGTCATAGTGTGCGCCTCCTAAGAAGTGCGCATCCACGATTCCGTGCATAGGTTCCGAACCAAGGGCCTGTCGGTCTCGCGGGTGGACGCTTAACCTCTACACCACTAAGACGGCTGGCAACCGATGGTATTATTGTCTAACTTCAACCAGTACACATAAAATTGTGCCACCATCCACCATTGTCTTCAGGAAGTTACTACCTTAGGGTAGGTCTGGTTTCACCCTACTGATCACAGTTTATCACTACAACTCCAGGAAATACCTGGACGAAACGCCCTTCTAGTGCTTCCAGTTTTCCCATGGCGGTTCATCATCAATTGACTGATGAATTCAAACAATAATATAAATCAAGTTGTGTTATTATTGCATTTCTGAATATCATCAAACGCCGAACTCAAAGTAGTATTATTCAACTGTGAAATCGTCTCATATACTACTTAAATGTTATTTCATTAAATAAAGTGACTTCTGTTGATTTAGGCGGGCATCAAATATATAACACAGAAAACTAAATATTTTTTGCTTGTTTTGTTCAGATTATTTCTTTTCTTTACAATAATCAAAATGATATTTGTTCGACACTCACTTGTTTGTAATTTGCACAGGTTTTATTTGGCCGACAAATATTTTTATTGAAATTGTAGTTCTTATGTTCGTCAAACCACACAGACACTGCGCTGCAAACACGAATCATCGATTGAAGATAAAGAAGAGGAAATAGAAAACACAGTTCAATGTCACTTATAATTCACAAATCACACATGTTCAGAATTGTTCACTAAGTGTCACAAATGATAATGAGTTGTTTAACAATAATTTCTTAACAAACTTATTTTTACTGGTTATCAACAAAATGAAGTTATTAAAATAAACCTACTCTCTAACTTTAGAAACGACAGCAATATTCTGGCCGACATATGTCCATTTTGAACCATCCCTCATGGTTAAGTTACTTCGTGTTGGCACGCAATGAAATGCCCATGCTTGAGCTAGTTTAGCCAATTTATGACTCCATTGCTAGCATAAACAATGAAAGCATTTTATGAATATTAGATTGTGATTAACAATGACTACCAAATATTGAGAATTTCTAACTAATTTACTTACTAGTTTGAGCATACTATCTGCTTTTGGTTGATCGAGAACAGTACCATACTTTATATCCCTTCTATATGCATTGTGTAAAACTAGTAGTTCAGAGTTTTCTATATTCCAAAAGATGGCTCGATTTCCATAAACATTCAATAGCACTAAAACAATGAGACTAAACTGTGTTTTATGCATATTGAACAGATGATTCGTATGAACTGCTTGCATCGATTCAATTTATACATTTGTGAATTTATTATTTGATCAATCAAAATTCACAAGATCACTTAATAAGTAAACAATAATATTAATAATAGTAATCTGTTTACCTTTTTTGTATTATAAAATGATGAACTGAAAGCAAACAAATAATCTTGAATCGTCTACGTGTTTTATATTATCGTTTGTTAAATATGTTTAAGAAATTAAGACATACTCTACAGGAAGTTCTCTGTATTGTACCTATGTACCTACAAATGAAAAAAAATTTATGATCCACTGATTGAAATCATGAGTCAATTGAAGCTAGACCACCATGGAAAACCTGGAAGCACTGGACGGCCATTTCATCCTAGTACGGGACTCCTCAGCAGTGCGCATCCACGACCCCGTGAGACTCGAACTCAGGACCTATCAGTCTCTCTCCAGGCTCCTGGCCCGATAATCATATGCTCACTAGTGACTGACTTCAAGAGGTACTCCTGGAGTTCTAGTGAGAAGCCGTTACCAATGGAGTTCAACCAAGTCTGTTGTGAGATATCAACTCACTGAAGACAATGGTGTACGGTGGTGCAACTTCGTGGATTGGTTTAAGTTAGACATTAACACCGTCGGATGCCGGCTCAGTGGTCTAGTTGGTTAAGCGCCTGGCGCGAGACTGATAGGTCCTGGATTCGAATCTCACGGGGTGCGGGATCGTGAATGCGCACTGCTGAGGAGTCCCACACTAGGACGAAACGGCCATCCAGTGCTTCCAGGTTTATATGGTGGTCTAGCTTTAACTGACTCATGATTTCAATATGTGAAATTTCTAAAAAAAATCTCCACAAAACCCCTTTTGATATTATGATTCAATTTGTATTTTAACTTGAATTTGTCAACTTTACAAAAGCTTTATTTGATAAGTAATCTTAAGTTAACTGAATACTATTATTTGTTCAAAAAATATTCATTTTATTACTTCTATATTATGATTTCTGAATGATTATTGAAATTCATAGATTATATCACCCATCAGTTTTATTTGGTTGTCAATTGAAATTAGAAATTACTGGTATAATGTCCTATCCCAGCATGGGACTTTTAAAAACCAGATGGTGGTATATCCTTGCAGCAAATTATTAAATCTAATGATTTGTTGATGTATTCACTTCTATAGTTTTTCGTCTTTTTATTATTTTCGTAGCTTCTATCATTTAGAATACTGTGGAATACAAAGACAAATAAATTAATAATCCTGTCAGTAAAATCTAGTTTATGACTGTCGTTAGACAAAACCTAGTTACCACATTACCATTAATGGTGAAATTACAATTAAGAAGAAAATCACATATCAATCTATCCTCATTTCTCAGTGGTAAGTTGTAAAGTTCACAGTGAGTACCATGATGTAGCTTTACTAAGCTCCATACTTATGCTATTTGGTATATGAGTAAGATCATGAGCGGAAAATCAATACACAGCCTTAAAATCATTAGTGAACAGAACTTATTTATTTATTTTGTAACAAAGTAGATATGGCATACATAAGCTATGAAGAATCAGATACCTAATACACTCACTTACATTGCATCAACTGCAAAGCGCTAAGTAGAAAGTTCATTTTAGCTATCTGCGTACCATCATAGATGAACGTAGAGGATCTGATGCAGACGTAAATGCTAGTATTTGCAAAGCAAAGACCGCATTCCTATAATTGTAGAATATATACAACTCGAAACAACTGTCAACCAATATCAAAGTCACAATTTTCAATACTAGTGTCAAATTAGTTAGTCCTATTGTATGGAGCTAAAACTTCGAGAAGTACTTCAACCATCATCAATAAAGTACAAGTATTTATAAAAAATTGTCTACGTAAGATAGTCAATGTCCGTTGACCGGATACCATCAGCAACAGCCTGCTGTGTGAGAAAACAAACCTGCTTCCATCTGAAGAGGAAATTAGGAAAAGACGTTGGAAGTGGATAAGACATACAGTTCGGAAATCATCAAACTGCATCTCGATGCAAGCCTTTACCGAAATCTTGAAGGGAAAAGAAAAAGATGAAGATCAAGGAACAGATTGCATCCGAAATTAGAAGCACACATGAAAAGAATAAATAGCAGCTGGAAAAAACTGGAGAAGATTGATCAGGACAGAGTTCGATAGAGGGTCCTGGTGGATATACCAGTAAATAAAATTGAAGCATATATTTCGTTAACTTTGTTTAAAAGAAAGATGAGAAATTAGTATAATTACGTTTCAAATACTCATTTGATCTTCTGCTTTCAGTATTCTTACATTCACAGTGTTATAAAACGAATTCAATGTACCATTTAATCATATTTCAGTTGATTATCTTTATAAACATTATTATTACAGTTCTCAATTCCAGTTAACAATAATGTCTATGTTTTCTTTCTTCATAGAAATTAATCAAAGTTTCAATTTTCTTGATTATTTATACAACAAAATGATTTTGTTAGAAAAGTATTTCCAATTTGATGGTATGATGTATAACATTTACACTTATTTTTAATTTCATATTATTTGTGTAGAAATATGAGAATTATTAACAAATAGAATGAACACAAACAACATACAAAATTATAACTGTAACAGTTTAATTAAATATTTGCTAACTAACATATTACTAAACATTATTTATGAGTAATATGTTTAACCATCATTAACTGTAGTTAGAAGAGGATGAAGTGTTCGTATACTGAAGAGTGGTAAAATGTATGCATTTGTGGTGTGGCGTCGAGTCGCGGTTGATTATGATCACCACTACAAGAAGACTAGGTGCCAAATAACCGATAAGATCCCCGTAAGCCAAATATCAGAAAGTAGTTGATGGCTATAGTCGAGATGTATTTGTTGGCGACCTCGTGGTATCAAAAGAATACCGAGATCGTGCCAATGGAATACAAGTGTGGTTACTGAGCGTAACCGAGTCCGTGCAAGGTCACGATCAACGCAAGGAAGAATGTCTTTAGTACAGTTAAACAAACAAGTGCAGTAAGACAATCACTGATACAATTGGTTACAATAATAATTGTTCCCATTAGACCAGTCGCGTTCTCTTGATAAAAGTAGGTCACTACACACTCGCAGATGGTATATGTGAAATATTTAAATAAATTTAGTCACTCATCACATACTTTTACTTGGCTCAGTAGCACTTATACACATATATTCATTATTGAGTTAGCAATTAAGGCTTCTGAATTATTCCCTGTTTTATTCGGTGAGACTATAATTTATGGATGACCTATGAGCAACACTAAAGTGCCATTGAGAATGTCCACATATCTACAAGAGCTAAATGAAGGTTATAGACCTGTAGGAAGAATAAAGATTATGATTTACAGTTGGTAGTTAAGGTAAGCAACTAAATTTAAGGTTTCCATCACGAACTGATATCAGCTATAGTGCCAAAACGGTGTTTAGCCAAATGGATGGGTGAATTTAGCACCAAAATCTAAGACCTGTTATCTTATACCTGTTTGGTTCGTCCACAAATTATTGTCTCGTACTTTACTACCCACTTACTGTGTATTGAGTATATTGATATTGTGTTCAATTGCAATTTGGTCCTTGTGTAATAAAATGTTCCCAGTAAAACGTTCTAAATTGGTTTCATTTTCGCGAGGCTAGAATAAAAGGTGAGAACAATGTATTACACAAGGACCAAATTGCAATTGAACACAATATCAATATTTACAACACACAGTAACTGGGTATTAAAGTTTGTAAAATTAGCAAATCGAAAACTTTCATTTTACTTCGTAACATAATAGCCAGAATATTGTAACAGATCAATCACGAATAACTGCCAATGAAATTATAGAGGACTAATCAACAGAAGCGACCGAAAAAAAATTTCGTTCCAACATATTAATTTACTTAACAACTATATATGATTAATTTACGTATCGAAAGTCGTTAAACAGATACATGTATTCATTTATTGTAATAATCACATTCCACTATCTGATTAGTAACAGCAGCATGTAATTTTATTTCATCCATATTAGTTAAGAGATGATTGGTAAAAGTGCAGACAGCAGTGTCATTCCACCACAAAGAACATAAGTTAAAATGATTGTCCAAACAACTGAGAAAGTATATAGATCTAACAGGAGAGTTAGCTGACAAAAAAGAGTATTGTTGTGGTGTCTGTACGAAACAATAATTCTTTTGTACATAATGTCTGCCTGCAATACGTTCGTTTGCGCTCATTTAGTTCTCTTTAGTCTAAATTGTGTTATTTCTGGAATTCTTAGATCGTATGATAATTCAAACACTTCTATTCATCACAATTGCGTAAATAATTAAAATGTCATATAGAGCCTTTCAGTCCTAGATCCGAAGCAATAGTTTATCACCTATAAATGGTTTAATTGTCCAGTATAAATGTGATAACTCAAAATAAGCGTTTCAGTAATTTATTTCAGTTTTCAAATCACTTTAGCTTGTGAAACCACTCGTAACGTTTAAGTCAATAGCCTCTACACATTTCGTTTGGCAAACGATTTGTGATTCGGACAAACACTACAACCCCTGAGTAAAGACGATTGGTAAACTTACTTCTCTTGTTGCAGAACAGGCGTATTTTTCTGTTTTTAGAAGTTATAAGGCTGTCAATTTTCTTAAAACCTAGGAAGAAGATTAGATCTACTGCTACCATATCATGAATGGAATGGAAAAGCATAAGAGCTGCACTGATACGAATTCCAAATATCTTTACTGGCCATAATTTGAGCTATTCTGGTTAAATTGTACATATCTACATTTACTTCAACTTATCGCTACATGTTCGACTGAAGATAAATAAGTTCATTAACTTATAGTCGGAAGCTAACAAAATGGACTAACTATCACCATATAGGAAGACATCATGCTACAAATATGTTAGAAATCATTGGACATATTTAATAATGAACATCTTAGACAATCAATAACCATTATATTTTTGTTAATGTTGGAAATGATCA